GTTCTCTTTCGCACTTTGTTCAGAAATAAATGCTGGTGCCCACATTACATTTTGCTTTTAAATAGCCTGCCGCAGAGGAGATGTGCCCGGGGCTCTAGGAGCCACACCGGACAGGGTCCAGGCCATTTGCATGGAAGGCAGAAGCTAGAGCTCATGCGAGCGGACAGGGAAAGGCATGACCATCACCGACCAGGGGCCTTGAAGGAAGTCACTTAACTGTTCTAAACGAAGGCTGGCTTTGCTAAAAAGCACCTTATCTCAGGCTTTTCATCTCAGGACCACTTTACACTCTTAAAAATTATTGAGCATCCCTAAGGAGCTTGTGTTCATGAGAGTTGTATTTGAAGATATTTACAGTACTAGAAATTAAAACTGAGAAAATCTTTGAATATTTTTCAATTTGTATCAAAAATCACAATATAGACTCAGCACACATTGGCATACATTTTACATCTTAAGAAAAATAACTGCATTTCCCCAAGCAAAAATAACAGTGAGCAGAATGGCAACACTTTATGCGTTTCCCAAGCTCCCTCAGTGTCTGAATTAGCGGCAGGCAGCTGGATCCTCACATCTGCTTCTGCTTTCAATCTGCATGCCGTGCTGTTTTAGCAGAGGGACGTGATGGAAAGTCAGCCTCAAGTATGGAGCTGGACAAGAGAGAGCAAGTTTGTAATGCGTTTTGCAGGTCATTGTGGATGTTCTTCTTTGATACTACACCAAAACTCAACATGTCGTACTTCCTTTTTCTTTTTATGTGTATTTCTCTTGAGGGAGAGAGAGAGAGGAAGAGAGCAAGTGGGAGGGGGTAAAGGGAGAAGAGAGAGAGAGACTCCCAAGCAGGCTCCGTGCTGTCAGCACAGAGCCAGATGTGGGTCTCGACCTCACAAACCAGGAGATCATGACCTGAGCTGAAATCCAGAATCAGATGCTTAACTGACTGAGCCCCCCAGGCACCCGTTTGGTACTTTCTCAAAGGTTAGTTGCAATGTCAAATCTGAAACCATATCAATTAATTTTTCAAACTCTGTTGCATTGAAACCCACTATAATACACTTTGGATTTTTTTTTTTTTTTTTTTTTTTTTTTTTTTTTTTTTTTTTTTTTTTTTTTTTTTTTTTTTTTTTTTTTTTTTTTTTTTTTTTTTTTTTTTTTACCTAGCCAAGCATTTGCAACATGGTGCGTTCATCACTTGGAAGATAATTGATTCACTGAGTTATGAGGATCTGTGATATTGACAATATGGTGATATTGAAATGTTGATACATTTCATCATACACCATCCAGAAATCATAGCAGTAACATAACTATTAACCTCATCAGAAAACTCTGAATTAAGAAGCTATCAAACTCACAGCAGTGGATACGAGTTTTCTAAAATTTTAATTTTCACTTAAAACTTTCCATTTTTAAGTTTATTTATTTATTTTGAGAGAGAGAAAGAGAAAGCACGAGTCAGGGAGGGGCAGGGAGACGGGGAAAGATAGAGACTCCCAAGAAGGCTCGCCACTGGCAGCACAGAGCCTGGCACGGGACTTGAACCCATGAACTGTGAGATCATGACCTGAGCCAACATCAAGAGTCGGTTGCTTAACCCACTGAGCCACACAGATGCCCCTTGGAAATTACAGTTTTATAACTGGCAACAAATATTGTCAGTTATTTTTCTTAAAGAAGCAGGCTCACTTCATTTATTTTCAGGTAGGTCTGAAATAACCTAATTTGCCAGTCTGTCGTCCTTTTCATAAACAGGCCGGAAAGAAAGCCTGGACAAGAAACCCAGCCCCTTGCCAACGACCAGCGACACTTGGCCACGTGAAACCATTTTGACCACTTAATTCTTTTTCATTTAACAATATTTTAAAAAATCAATACAGTGCTTCTCCCACCCATGGGAGTTTTCTCTGAGGTGTGGGAAAATGGCGAGGTGGATGTTCTCCGCCACGGACCCTGGCGTTGGAATTCTGCTCTCTCATGGCTTAACTGTGTGAGTGGGACAAATGTCCAATTGCTCTATGCCTCAGTTTCCTCAACTGTACAATGGGTCTCCTGGGGGGTGTTGCTGTGAGGACCGAGCTCTTGACGACGCCGGCCTCACCGGAGGCCCCTGTTGGTGCTCCCGCAGATGGGCCTCGGCCCGGGCCCCGCGCTCCTGGGATGCCTCCACCACCGGCCAGCTTCCCACCCCCCGGGGCAGCACATGGCCCCTGTCTCTGGTGACAGTGCGTCCAGGAATCCAGAAAAGTTCAACTCTGGGCCCTCCCGGCTGTCTCCTCGCCCTGTCAGGGAGGGTTGGCGTGAGTGGGGAGAGAGAGGCCCAGCAATGGGCGCCAGTACCTGAGTCTTGCGCGGCCGGGAGAGGAGAAGAGGCAGAGGGGTGCCCGGCCGCGTGTGCTCCGGGAAGGGGGTGTACCAGCCCGCCCAGCAAGGGCTACCTCCTGTACCCCACCTATACCTGGGGGCGGGGGCGGGCACCGCAGGGCAGGGCCAGACCCATCCCATGAGGTACAGTGCTTGGGGACGGGCGTCAGGGAAAGGGGCAGCAGGGCAGAGTGAGCCTGGGGCTCCAAGAGGCAGCACAGGTGACCCAAACAGGAAGTAGCAAAACAGGCTGCAAAACAGGCACTGACACGTGGGGCAAAGCACAGAGCACGCGGCGCAGGCGGGGCCGGGCCGACGCGCACAGCCAGGGGGCAGCCGGCGGCCGCCGCTTTGTGGCCACGAGGTCCTTCACTCTGCTCCTGCCTGAGTCCTGTCCTACCCAGGGCTCCCCTCTAAAGGGACTTTGGCGACCCTCACCTTGCAGTGACCTTCGACCTGATCTGAATTTCTGTCACAAGAGCACGTTGTCAACATTGCCTACTGCCGCTGTCTTACTGACTGTACATCATACGTCCAATAAGGGGCTAATATCTGAGTATCAGGGCCTCATGCAACTCAATAGCAACAAGCAAACAAAAAACAACAAAAAGGAAAAGATCTAATTCAAAATGGGCAGAAGATCTGAATGGCCATTTTTCCAAAGAAGACCTACAAATGTCCACTGATGGACAAAAGGGTAAGGAAACTGTGGTATATCTATGTAATGGAATGTTATCTGACCATGAAAAAGAAAAATTTTGCCATTTGCCACCTGAGCGGACCTCAAGGGTGTGATGCAAAGTGGAAAAAGTCAGACAGAGAAAGATAAACCATCTCTCTTACATGTGGCATCTTAGGGAAAAAAATTAATTTAAAAAAATCCACCCTCAGATCCTCAAGTTCATAGAGAACAGATTGGTGGTTACCAGAGGTGGGGTGTAGAGGTGGGAGAATTGGGTGAACTGCTTTTAGTACTTTGTTTGTTTGTTTGTTTAAATAAAATAAGAGGGGGAAAAAGAGCCCTGCCCTCAAGAATCTGATGCTGTAGCTGGCAGAGACAGATAACGAACTATAAGCAGAATGGTAAGTAGTTATACAGTACGTTCCAAAGTGCCCCCAAAAAATCTATAAACACAGCCAGAGAGATTAAGAGTTTGCAATTTTAAATGTGGGAAGCCTTTACTGAAAAAATGACATTGAAGCAGAGATGTGAAGGAGGTGAGGTACTTGTCTGGGTGGCTATCTGGAGGGAGAACCTTCCAGATGGACAAGACAGCCAGTGCCAAAGCCCTCGGTGGACACTTGTCTGACCAGAGGAAGAGCAGAGAGATCAGTGTACCTGGAACTGGGTAAGAACCAGGGAGGGGACAGAGGATGACAGGGTGCCCAAGCCGCGTGGGCCCCGGAGGACGCTCAGCGATGGGTGGGAGGGGAGGGCAGGAGCTTTGGAAGGTGGCCAGCCCTGTAACAGGATGATCTGAGGGCCGTCGCGGAAAATAGCCAAGATAGAGGCAGCACGACCAGTGAAGGGCTACTGCAGTCACCCAGGCCAAGGAAGATGGTGGCACCTGCCAGGTGGTAACAGTGTGGGTTCAGCAGGATTTTCTGGCTTTCTCCATTTTGGGATACTGCATCCATTCTGGGGTTAGTCCACATCAAGTGAGTTGCGCACTCGCTGACAATCATATACATTCATATTGAAGCAGAATCCCCCAAAAAACCAATCATGCCATTTTTTCACCCATCGTGTTAAAAATAGACACTGATAAGCATACAGAGAAAGAAGTACTATTTTACCATCATGGGAGCATGAGTGGGGATCGTCTTCCTGGAGATCGATTCACTGAATCTACCATGTTAAATCCCGCACACTTTCAGCCGACCCGCCATTTCCAGTGGTCGAGCCCACAGAAATACTCCCATACGCCCATACGTGTGGAAAAGTGTTCACGAAAGGACAGTCCCTGCCACACAGTTTGTAAAAGCAACCAACTGAAATAAACCCACATGCTTACCGATAAGTGATTGGCCAAGTACACTTGGCTTGGATTACCACACATCCTTTGAAACAATGAGGGAAATGTGCATATAAATACGGTAAGAAAAAGGCCTGGAAGGGGCGCCCTGAAATGTCCGTAGGGATAACTTACAGAAGGCAGGTGGAGAAACAGAATTACAGGAGAATTATGTCCTTTTCACTCTGGATTGTTCTGTGTTTTTCCTTTCCTTACATGTGTAAGAGCAAATTCGTGCATTTTGTATAAACGTTATCAGTGTGGACTTTTTATGCTTAAGCACAGGAATCTTTAAGACTCCATCCTGAGGGCCCACGGGCTGTGCTCAAGGCTCCTCTGGACCCACACCCACCCTATCTGTGCCATCTCCTCTGGGAGAGGTCGATTCTTCATGCATTTCATGAAACTGAAAGCTTCAGGATCCTTCCAAACCTAGGCCCTTTTTAAATAAGTAGTCATTTTGGGGGTGCTGGAGTGACTCAGTCGGTTAAGCGTCTGATTCTTGATATTGGCTCAGGTCGTGACCTTGTGGTCATGAGACTGAGCCTCATGTTGGGCTCTGTGCTGACTCTCCCTCACTCTCTGCCCCTCCCCTGCTCTCGCTCTCTCAAAATGAATAAATTAAGTTTTAAAAAAATAAGAGGGTATTTTTTTGTGCCTCATACTATATTTTAAATTTTGCACTTTCATCTTAAAGAGGAGCAACCTCTTTAAGCAAACCTTTGCCTTTATACCTTCTCACGCCGGTGTCACGGCCATGCCCAGGGGCAAGATGGCAGCATTTCCCACCAAAGCCCTTTGTAGGCCTTCCTACAGGCTGAGCAGTGACAACAGGAGAGGGCAGGAAAGAGGAACTAAGGACCAATCCCCCCAAAACTAAGGACTAGCAATGGGCAGACATAACCTCAGTGAAACCCCAGTCATGTGTCCCAGTGTGCTGAGAAGCTCAGGCAACTTTACAGAGCACACATTAGCCTGGAGATCAGAACAGCCATGGATGTAGGTGAAATAGGGGGAAAGTCAAGACAGCCTGTCAAATGAGTCTCGTAACTAAAGGAAACAATTCCTTAGACAGAGAAGCTTTTAGCCACGGAAACCCAGGACAACAGGGAGCCAGAAGAGAAGCAGGTATGTCTGAGGAATGGGTTTGCATTCTCCAGGTCTCAATGGCAAGTGCCTCGTATAACACATCTTGGGAAGAAATGCGTAGGAGTCTAATGTCACTAAGCATTCGACTCTGCTCTGATCTCACAGTCGCCAGGCAACCGTTGGATTAAGAAGTTTGCCAGGTAGATTTCCCCACACAGAATAGGTTAAGCAGAGGGCTCAGCTCTCTAGACCCTTCACCAGATGGAGTTCTCGTTGTAGTTTAATAAGCTGCCATCCAACATAGACATCAATTCCAATGAGCGTGGTTAATGTGAGTCTGCCCCAGAGAGAGGGATTTGCGATTTGTTGTCTGAGCCTGCACGGCAAGCCCAGCCCCTCGACTGTGAGAATTTGCCCACTGCCCCCGTGCAAACTACTACGTGACCTTTCACACAGCTGTCATCCAAACTGACTCTGTCCAAGTTGAGTTGTGCGTTCAGCGACATGCCATAGCTGGGTGGTGCTGCTGGGTCCACATCTGTGGGATTATACACAGTTGACGGGCCATCCTATAAGCCAACTGTCGAGTCTGCGACTTTAGTGCAAGGAGACAGCCCAGATCTGAGGCCAAAGCCAATCGTTAGCTGGTGTGTGGGTACCTAAGGCCGTCCATGCCCGATAGGCACCCACAGATGGTGATCTCCTCTCCTTCCCCGTCCCTGCTGGACACTGTCGCGGGAGAGGAACCAGGCAGCCCCTTACGGGTGTCGTGTGTTTCTCATAATTCCAGCAAAAAAAGTCCTGAATCCTAGGCAGGAAATGATGTCACTGGAGCGGGGCTGTCTTCAGAGAGCATCTCCAACCTCCATCAGTGGATCTGTGATCGGGAGATCCAAGTGGGAGAAGCAGCGCAGGGCGGGCTCTGGATTCTGGAGAGAGTGGCTGCCTTCTGGGCTGTGCCTGGAAAAGAGAATAGAAGCAGCTGGAGAATAACCCAAGAGGGTGAGCTTGGAGCCGGTGCCTGAGATAAAAGTCCCCGGGACAATATCAGTGGCAGCCCACGACGTGGTCCTGGTGAAAACCCACGACAGGCCGCTCGCTGGACAGCGCCAAGATGCCATTCCCCGGTACACCACAAAACGAGCCGTACATCCTAAAACTTGGCTTTTTCTGTTCTTATACACAGGGGCATTTTTTTCCTCTCCAAAAGAGACAAAATACAGAAAAATCAAAGAACAGATGCAGAGACCCTAACACACCAAGCCGAGGATTTGCACCTGCTCGAGGTGAAGCATTCGCAGGCCAGGACCCAGCAGATGAAGAGACTGGGGGTGCTTCTCTGGAACAGGACGCGGGGCCTCCTGGCTGCGACATCTGTCACCCCACTGCTCTCCACGGCTGATCTGGCCGGCTAGGCGGGTGTCCCCCTCCTCCCTCACCCTCCCTGTGCATCCCTCCCGAAGCTGCGCGCTGCATGGAAGAGGATGATCGTCCCCGACACACTCATTATCTCCTACTTCAACTGTCCTGCTCAAAAGCTACAGACAGTCCTTGCCACCTGCTCAGAACAGAGACGATTTGGAAGCAGCCTACGCAAGCCTTGAAGACGAGATCCCCCTGGCAAAAAACAAAAACAAAAACAAAACGTGGGCACTTGTTGGGATGAGCCCTGGGTGTTATATGTAAACCAACTTGACAATAAACTATAAAATAAAAAAAGAAAGTGGTGTGTTTCAGGAGGATGAAACGATAGGCAGCTGTGTAAATGGAGGCTGCAGGAACCCGGCTTATTCTCCAAGGTCCTGCTACAGTCCCCCGATCACACCCCTCGCTCTGAGTCGGGTCCTGGCCCCCACACACCCAGCCGTGTCCACAGCACTAGAAGCCTGTAGCCCAGTCCGCCGTGCGTCGGGCTCTCCACCCCGACTTCTGGAGGGCAGGGACCACGGCTCGCTCACTCAGATCTCGTCACCCACCCTCCACCCCCACGGGACCCTCAGCACACGGCGGGCACTGGGCAAGCGCTTGTCATATTGAAATAACTCTGTGGCTTGCTGCAGATTCCCCTCCCCTTGGACGCTCTAAGCTATACGCGATGGTTTCCCCATCTCGCGCAGCCACCCAAGGTGCAAAACAAACTCAGCTTTGGAAACCAGAACGCGGAAGAAGATCCCTCAGTAAAGTTTCCCAAAGGGGGCCGTGCTTACCTGCTACGCCCATACGTCGTAGGCAAGCCGCCTGAACCACTGTGCTGTGTGCTTCCAGACAGCCTGTCACCATAGCAACACTCACATCTGTCATTACCTCAGAGAAAAAACACTTTTAGAGGAAATCTACTTCGCAACGTGTCATGTCAACTTCTGCGCTTCTTATGGATTCTCGCAGGAATCTGGGCCCGAGTGCCCTGGGTTAAGCCGTGCCTCTGTGAATGATCTAGAAGGCACTGCCACAGCCCCAAGTGGCCTCTTCCTCAGCCTGCCCCCGCCTGTCCTTGGATGATTCAGGTACCGGGGCCTCCCTGAAGCCACGGCAGATTGCTGTCACACACAGGGCAGTTAAACAAGCCGGTTGTTATGAAAATAATAGCTGTCACCCTGGCATCATGCATGCACAGTCTCTTAATCCCTGGGCCACCCCGTGCAGCAGGCATCCCCAGCCCTGCTTAGCGATGAGGAGACAGGTCCAGCCCTCCCCACTGCGGTGACATCACAAGCCACACCTTACTCCCAACACGCCACCCACCCCATGTGGATCTGTGAAGTTTCCCGACTATTCAGAAAGGAAGATTTTTTTTTTTTATCCTCCCCATTTTACAGAAGAGGAAAAGGTCTTGGAGAAGTGGAGCATCTCACCCCCAGTCCCCTCGAGAGGACAGCGCAGGTGCAGAGACCCAGTCTCTCCCCCTCGGCGGGGGTCTCTGCACCTCTCTGAGCCCAAGAGGAAGACACCCGGGGCCCTTCCCTGCTTGGTTTCGGAATAAAGTCCAACCTCTGGCACTTGCTGAGAATCTCCCCAAGCAGGTGAGCCACTGGCTACACCCTCACTCCTTCCAGATCTCACGTGGAGCTCTCTTGTGTCTTTGAGGGAAACGAGGACTAGCAAAGCACATGTGAGACTTTTGTGCACAATAACCACCTGAAGATCTTATGAGAACGCAGGTGCTCCCTGGGTAGGCCACCGTGAGTGGGCCTGAGACTCTGCATTTCCCACCAGCTGCCGGGGACGTTGCTGGCCCTCCATCCCACCTTTAGGGAAGGGGGCAAGGCCCCTGTTTGGAAGAAAAAAGGCGTTGTAAAAAAGACATGGTGTTGCCCCCAGGGCAACCCAGGACTATTGCAGGCTGCGTGTTAAGACCTCATGTTGCTAAGGGAACTCGATTCCCAAAGCCGACCTCTAAGCTTCAGGAGACAGACTCTACATGAGGAACCCCTTGCAGGCTCTTAGCCACTATTGATGGTGGGATGTCTTCATCCCTGATCTCCCAGTGCTTGGCCTCGTACCCGGAGTACTCTGGATGCCCAACAAATTGGAAGGAAGGAAGGAAGGAAGGAAGGAAGGAAGGAAGGAAGGAAGGAAGGAAGGAAGGAAGGAAGGAAGGAAGGAAGGAGGGAGGGAGGGAGGGAGGGAGGGAGGGAGGGAGGGGGAGGGGAGGGGAAGGGAAGGGGAGAGGAGGAAGGGAGGGGAGGAAGATGGAAGTGTGGGCTAGGTTAAAAAAAATGACTTGCAACAAGGAAGACTCTGTTACATGATCTATGTTATTAACCATGTAACACTTGTCCAAGATGGGCACAGAATGGCTATTCCATACCTAAAACTTAATTGATCGAAAGAACTCAGGCTTTCTGTCTATCCATCATTTTTAAGCATTCCTGTTACCCCATGGGATCTAGAACCTACCTTGCATATACTAACTATATCAGTCTCCTAGAACCAAAGAAACTTCTGGATATTTGAAAGATGTAATTTTAGGTGCTGTGACAGATATTTGTTTGCCAATTTGGCTGGGCTCAGATATGTGGTCAAGCATTCATCTGGAAGTTCCTATGGGGATGTTTTGAGATGAGATTGACATTTAAATTGGTGAATTTTGCAGATTGCTCTCCACAATGTAGGTGGGCCTCATCCAATCAGTTGAAGAGCTGGATAGAACAGAGATTGACATCCCTTGAACAAGGGAGAGATCTGCCAGCAGATGGCCTTTGGACTTGAAATGCAACATCAGCTCTTCCCTGGGTCTCCAGTCTGATGGCTCACCTTTCAGGCTCTGGACTTGCCAGTCTTTTTTTTTTTTTTTTTTTTTTTAATTTTTTAATGTTTATTTATTTTTGAGAGAGAGAGAGAGAGACAGAGTGTGAGCAGGGGAGGGGTGGGGCAGGCACAGAATCTGGAGCAGGCTCCAGGCTCTAAGTTGTCAGCACAGAGCCCAACGCAGGGGTCAAACCCATGAACCATGAGATCATGACCTGAGCCGAGTTGGACACTTAACCAACTGAGCCACCCAGGTGCCCTAGGACTTGCCAGTCTTAACCATGTGAGCCAAGTCCTTTTCTCGCTTGCTCGCTCACTCTTTCAGATAGATGATGATAGAAAGATAGATAGATAGATAGATAGATAGATAGATAGATAGATACACAGAGAGAGGTAGAGGTAGAGATAGACATAGAGATATAAATAATACACATACACTAATTGGTTCTATTTCTCTGGAAAACCATAATATAGGGGCAAAAAAGGGACTACACTTCATAGCAGATGGTAAACACTGCTTATCCCAAAAGATACTAAAGTATAATAACACACAAACTGGAACAGAGGCTGAACATACTCATGGCTAATGAACTAACAAGTCACAGGACATCTCTATGCCCAGGGGGATATGGGGCTATGCCTTCTAGCATTGACTGTCAGCCCCTACCCCCAACCCCAACCCCAAATGGATCCTCAGATGACACTTTGAGAAATGCGTGGAACAGGTTTCTTTGGAGGCATAGCCTCAGCAGAATGAGACAACTAATATATTCTAAGATACAATATGAGTTCTCTTTACTTACCCTTCAACCATTATTAGGCAGACCGTATGAAACCACATTTGACCATCTTTGGCCTACAGAAATGGTAATTCTGTACAGTTAAACTAATACATTTAATTATGTCTCATTCTTTAGATCACATTGAATAGAGCCCCATTAACACCCAGAGTCCTCTCTCTTACAGATCTTCTAGAATGTTCTCTGTGTCAGCATCCCATCTACATGGGCAGCAGGCTGGCGCTGTGAAAGACTGGGGCATGTCAGTCACTTCCTCTCCCAAGCCTGGGTCCTGATGCAGCAAGTGCCGAGGCAGGACCCAGATGAGGGGGTGTCCATAAGCGCACGTGGATGCACCTCTCATTTGACCTGTGCTGCTGTGAGGGGTCAATGGTATGCTCATGGAGGCCTCATTCTTTGTTGGGAGGTGCTACGGAAACACCCCTAATCCTTGTTTCCTGCGGCACATGGACTGCTGGGAATTCTGCGGCCTGACTCTACTGTTCTTACAGACCTTCCCGCCCCAGGAAGACAGGGGCCAGAGACCTCCTGAGGGCAGGCCGTGCCACATTCTCCACCTCCCCCGTGCCCAACATGAGGCCATGACACACGGTGCTGGTGATGAGTAAGTGAGGAAAGGAGGCACGGGAGAGAAAGAGGGAGGGAGGGTTATGTCCCAGCCCAGTGCCCCCCTAACCACTCCCTCTGGGTCACCCGTCAGTCTGGTCTGAGTGTCTGTCAACCAGCTGCCATCAGAGGCTGTGAGGCCAGCTCCTGCCCCACGGTGGAGTTAGCTCCCATCACACTTCCTTGGTGACCCACAGGTGACCATGGTTACTGCCGCCCAGGTGAGCCCAACGGGCCCCCGCCTCTCCTGGACCCCCACCTCTCCCACCCTGTCTCCCTGGCCCCCACTTCTGCCATCCCTGCTTCTCCCACTCCCTGCTTCTCCTCACCCACAGCTCTCCGGGCCCTCACCTCTCAGGGGCCCCCACCTCTCCCGGCGCCCTCTTCTCCCCGCCCACACAGCCCATAGATCCCCCCTCCAGTGGGGGCGGCTCCAGTGGTCACCTCCTGAACACCCTTGTTCTTTCACTGCTTCACCTGCCTCTGTTTATCCAAAGCCCTGGGCTGCACAGAGGGGACCCTTCCTGAGGCCGCTCGCAGCGACCTGGGGCCCCCTGTGGGCACCACACCAGCAGCCCAACCTAAGCCCTGCCTCATCCTCGCCACTGGCCACCAGGAGCCTTGTGGGCCCCACACGGATGCACCACCAAGATGGTGAGCCCTAGGCTAGACACATGCATGCACACTCCTCCCTAGAGCCAAAGGCCAAGATGCGCCCGCCAAGATGCGCCCAGCGCCAGGGGCTCCTGACGCTGCAGCAGGAACCGACATGAAGAGCCCCGGAAAAGCCACACTGGGAAGGAGGGTAGAGGGAAGGGGTGAAGACTATGTCCCGGGAGAGAAGCCACCCCTGTGGACAAGATGGTGTAACTAGAAGACCAGGGCCAGCTCCCGAGCCAGTGGTGGAAGGCGTGAGTTAAGAAGCTATGGATACAACACTTTGCAACCTCAGTTCATGGTTGTGTAAGTGGAAATATTTATAAACAGCACCCTTACAGAAGACTGCCCTTTGGTTTTGCTTAATCATTACTGTGCAGAGAAAGGCACGACCCCACACACACGGAGAGCAGGTGCTGCATTGGAATAGCCCTCCTGAGGAAATTCAAGAAGGGGAGAAAAGAAAGGTCACTGGATTAAAGAATCAACCGCTCTATTCCAAAAACTTTGACTCAAGTTACCAGAAATCCTATGTCTCGGGGGCGCCGAGTGTGTTGAGGGCCCAACCTTGTTTTCGGCTCAGGTCATGATCTCACAGTTTGTGAGCTGGAGCTCCGCGTCGGGCTCTGCGCTGACGGCAAGGAGCCTGCGTGGGATCCTCTCTCCCTCCCTGCTCCTCCCCCGCTCGCTCACTCTCTTTCTCAAAATAACTAAACAACCTAGAAAAAGAAAAAGGAAATCCTATGTTTGGGCAGGTAACAACACACGCGGCCCCGCCCTCCCGGGAGACAACACAGTGTGGCCCCGCCCCCTGGAAACAACACAGCATGGCCCCGCCCTCCTTAGAGATGACAATGTATGGCCCCGCCCCCCTTGGAGACAGCAATGTGTGGCCCCGCCCTCCTTGGAGACAACACAGCGTGGCCCCGCCCCCTGGAAACAACACAGCGTAGCCCCGCCCCCTTAGAGATGACAATGTGTGGCCCCGCCCCCTTAGAGATGACAATGTGTGGCCCCGCCCCCTGGAGACAACACAGCGCAGCCCCGCCCTCCTTAGAGGCCACAATGTGCGGCCCCGCCCTCCTTGGAGAGCTGGTGCTGCTGTTGCTCTGGCCATTCCAGCTCGGCTTGCTTGACCTTCTCAGCCG